AGTGCTAGAATCTTCCGCACATGAACCCCTCCACGGGATCCCCGCAAGGCACGGACATGTAGGTCCCACAGGTGGGCCCTACCTAAGCCAGGCTATCACGCTGGCGGCGCATCACGTGATCGTCTGCCCAACATGCTCTGATCTGAACCTCCAATCCTCCTATTTTTTTAGGTCTATTTTTTTAATTTTCTGACAATTATTATTTTTAATCGTAATTAGTATTAATAAATCCTAAACCACCTGTTTTAGTCAACGTCTTCCTCAGTCAACCCGCATGTGAATCGCGAGTGACAGAGCGGCTAGTGAACGGACGGTGCAGATCGATTTCCCTGCCGAAGCAGGTTTGAGGGCCGTTAGATCGTAATTACGCCGAATGCCTGTTTTTTTTCCTTTGTCAGTTATGTGACGGCAAGTTTTTTCTATCAGTTAAATGACGGCAAACGACGTCAGAATAGACGGCATGACGGTGGGGCTGCGTTGAAGAAGTGGAAAATTAAGGAATAACAACAAAAACCTGTGGCTATTTGCATTTCAATGCCCATATTTCTGGCGAATTAGACACTCAATATTGATGCATCATGTCACCCGAATACACTAAATTTCAGTGTATTTTGGCGACATGGCGCATATGAATTGGTGTCCGGACGAATCCAAATACCGGACGTAATAATTTGCCCATATCTATAGTAATACCCTTCGTGCCCATAATTGTTTAAAATAACATATTTTTCATATTTCACGATTTCACTAAAATCAAATTGTGTAATAAAAGGTAGAGAAATGAAAAGGTGGGACCCGGGCTCCTGCGCGCAGCTCAATGGTAGACGCGAAATTTTTCCTCCTGTGAGCCTGTGTTCGAGGAACAATTATTACGTCCTCCGACCGGACGTAGAGGAACGTCCGGTCGGAGGCCAAATCGCGCCAAAAAATGAGAAATACCGAGCAATACCAAACAACAACGAGGAATACCATCACGTGAAGACCCAATATCGAGTTATACCGAGTTATACAAAAGTTGTACCGAGTTTTTCCTAGAAAAAACTCGGTACAACTCGGTATTGCTCTGTATTGCTCGGTATAACTCGGTATTGATATTCACAGAGCGGTATTCTTCGTAATTATCAAATAATACCTAGTAATACTGAGCAAATACCGAGTTTTTTTACGGAATTTTGTCTCCGACCGGACGTTCCTCTACGTCCTTACACCAGACCTAATAAAAGTTCGTGTTCGAGGCGCCTCAATTTCCCAAAAAAAAAAAAGGTGGGAATCAGTTGAGAATATGCACTCAGTTCCTTTGTTAATATCAAATCTTTTTTTTTTCTTACTCATTTAAGTATTTTTTATATAATATATATTTATGGTAGGATTATCTTATAAAATCATATTTTTGTGTTAGGTTAATCAAAATATCATGAATATTTAAGTAGGGCTGAACGAGTCACTGATTGTAAACTTCCACAATTGTGCATTTTATCGAGTGGCTCTGATCTATTCAAATATTATGTCTTCAAAGATCATAGTCATGATATGAAAGATTATTACCATATGTATTACAAATAAAAATGTTTATCAACTAGAAGAAACTGAAAAAAGTTCATCATTGCGAACCTAGGATAATAAGATGATGAGGCATTACTTAATAAAAGTTAATTAGATTAAACTTGTTACCAAACAAATGACTCGATCACATAGTCGCTATTGTTGTCACAACCCAATACAATACAATTCACTATTCTAAAGAGGGTCACATCATGTCAAGGCCATGATAGTAGACGTATATAATACTTCCCATGACCTTATTGGAAGAATTTATTTATTATTTTATTTTATTTGATATTTATAGCACAGAGCCATTTAAGTCATAAAATATAAACAAAAATAAAGCATCAATTTATTTCATTTCATCAAATTATACTTTCAAAAGAATTGACATATAAGTTAAGTGGGGTAATTTTGGGGTATGTTTGGGCATTCATTTTATTTATTTTCATATTCATTTATGTCCATTTATGTGTTATGTGTGGATTTGTCATATCCATATATGACATATAGATAAAGTGCTTGTCAAATATATCGTATATAAGTATTGCTTTGATAGTCATTTTTGATATGGTTTCCTAATTTACTAGTCTGATAGCTTAGATGATGGGTAAAGCATAGAGTAGAGTTCTTACTATTAGATCATATGATAAAAATAGGTATTGTTGATGTTTTTGAGATTGAAGCCTTTGAGGTTTGTGGGTGCAGTAGGGGATTGGTTGAGGAGGTTGAAAAATACATTTGATAGTATGCATTATCCTTCTTGGAGGAATTATAGTTGGCAGATTTTTTGTTGGATGGAGAGGCAGAACGCTGGTGAATGGGCAAGCGAGATGAGAAATTTCATAGGACGAAATTGAACCCTTTAATCAGCTGGGAGGAAATTTTCATGTATTTTGGGCTTGGTTTGTACCACTATCTACATGATAGTAAATACAAGAGAAGTTTCTAAGGATGCTTTGGGGAAGGAGTATTGTGATGCAGTACGAAGAAGAGTTTAATACTTTAGTAGGTATGCTCAGTAATTAGTTCGCACTACAATGAGAAGTGTTATATATTTTTGAGTGGACTGCAAGATAGTTTGACTCAACCACTAGTCCCATTCCATATCTCTATTTTTCTGAAATTATGGAGAGAGCCCGTTTGATTGTGAACGATTTGATAATAACTCAGCAATGGTGAACTTTTATTAGAAAACGTATTAGCAACGTAGAGAAAAGTAAAGATTTGAACTTGGATATTCTAAGAGAAGAAGACAATATGTATCTATTGCAGTTTTCTGGTAGTGGCAGTGTGACAAATTATGGTTCAATTAGTGGAGCGCATATATGTCATAGTTGTGGTAGATGCCACTCTTGTTAGTGTTACTGGATGATGATATTATGTTTCGGATGCAGACAGGTGTGATACAGGGTGGCTGAGTGTCCATGGGAAAGATTTGATTAATGATTTGAGCCTCGAATAAGAATTTTGTCATACTTGCTGGGAGATCGAGGACAAATTTGCTTTATACATCTTATGAGGGATCATATGGTAGAGATAGTGGATCTGGTTCTTTGGCAAGCTCAGCAGTAGGTAGACCATCTACAAGTTAGACAGAGCTTGATAGTTCTATTGCTCCAGCTCCAATTCAACTAGATATGTATAGTCTGACTCAACAGGAGGCTCGGGATGCCTCAATTGTTGTGAAATATATGAATTTAATTTTTTACCAGCCATGTCATATTTTATTTGATTTTGGAGTTAAGTCATCGTTTATTTTCGAATGTTATATTTATTCACTGAACTCGCCTTCAATTTTATTAACTTTTTCTTTGTTTATTGCTTTACCTACTGGAGATGGTAAGATAGCTGGTAGAATTTATTTTATGATATTGAAATATTTGAGAGGAAGTGGAGGTTCATAGTGTAGAGCTCTTATTTTCATCATTCTTGCATCTTTAACTTGGATAATAAAGAATTTGAATAACTCTATATCTCTCTCAAATCCACCTCCTATGTTCTTGTACTCATATTTCAATATGTATTGACCTTGAGATTTGTGCTCGATCAATATAATTTTTTGATAAGCTTAAAACCAATCTTAATATAAAATGCATACGAATAATCTAACATAACTTTTTTCTCTCTCTACAGCGTAAAAAATCAACAGCTCACTTCACAAAAAAATTACAATTCTAGACGCCTTCACATGGATTACATTACTAAACAGTAAGCCTTCCACCCTTCACATCACATTACGAATATTTTAAATAATTTTATCAAATATTAAAAAAAGGACATATATTTAGGGTGACGCCCACTGTCCCTTTTCTCCGATCTCCGATGAGAAGCGGAGATTCATGGAGTCTGCCTCGAGATTTAGCGAGGGTTTCGAAGATGGTGAAGAAGAGGTGTTAGCAAGGGTAGAAGGGTCTTTTCATAAAAGTCATTCCTTTCCCCTTCTGAATTTCACTTTACTTACGCTTTTCTTTCTGACTTGCTTTTGAATGATAGTAATTAGAATTATTTTCGTATAATTTGAATAATGGTCATAATATTTGTTTTAGGAGTTATAAATAGATCTTAATTTTTCTTATTTTGAAATCATTGATAATTTTAGAATTATGATTGTTTTTTCAAAGCTTTTAGTCACTATGATTGAGCTTTTCGCCTCCTATTTTTTTTATTGTGGCTTGTTTTTAAGATCTGTTTGGAATGAATACAACTTTTTATAAAGTTGATTGGAAAATTGATGTGGTAAAAATAATTTTATAACTCTAATTGCAGAAAATAACTTTTTATTACATGTATTTTTAAAAACTATGAGAAAGTAACAAAGAAATAATACTCAACAGAATTATTACTATCTGGAAAATAAGATATCAAGAAAGATGTCCCAAATAAACTCTTAATCCTCTCTTGTTGTGTTTTCGTATTCTTTGACTTAGTTTTCTTATATTCAATGCTCTAATTTTCTAAATTTTTTGCTTTATTTCTCAAAAGCTCTCTACATTCATTTATTTTAACTATTGAAATTAAATAATTTAGTTTGCATTTTCACAAAGGCAGACTAAAGAATGTGCATTTGTAATTTGAATAATTTATTGATTTATTGATGAGAATTTGACGGCTCTAATAAATTTTTACGAATTTAATTTTGTTATCATATTTTCAATTTATATTGTGTTTACTTATTGGAATTAAATTAATTTTTTTTAATTTAAAATCAGGTTGAATAGATAAATTTAATATTATTAAAAAAATATATAGAATATTTTAATATTAAAATTTTTATGTAAAAAAAAATAATTTAATGCTAATTTGGATAATGGCTAGCCTTAATCCCGCAAAATTCCAAACCACCAAAAAAAGCGAAAAAAAAAAAAAAACACTGTGTTAGAATAATTTACAATTATGCCCCTTAGGATTTATAAAAAAGCTGTGCCCTTTTCCAAACATCTTAATTACCATTCCAATCCCAGAATTCCCTGCATTTTCCCTCCCTTCCTCTTCTCTGGCTTTACTGGTTAGGGTTTCAAAGCGCTCTTCTTCATCTGCATCTGAATTCCCAGTTGAATTTCATGCGCATCACTGTGAAAAATTCAACAGCGCAGTTCATTTCCTTGCAATTCAATAGAAAACCTATTGAATTTTAGAGAAAATCGAACTAAAATAGAGAGACGGAAGTGTACATATGTTAATGGAGCTGCCAGGTACCAAAACGATGCAAATCTGAAATAGTTCTGATGATTTTTTAGTTATTGGGGTTTAGGGATTCTCTTGCATTGCTTCTGATTTTGATGGGTTTTAGGTAAGAAGAAAACTCGCGATTTGCTCTCGCTTTATACGAAGGAATCCTCCTTCCAGCTCCAGGATTCAAGACCCCATGCTCAAGGTATTTTTTTCCTTTATTTTTACCATAATTATCATACAAAATTGTTCTCGTCGTTTAGTAGATCTGAGGAGAATTATGTTCTTGTTGGTTTGGTTTCTTCGGCTGTCTTCTTATTTTTATTATTATAAGGCCTTTTTTGTTGAGAAATACTTCAAAATTCAGCTATGAAACCCGGAATCCACTTCAAGAACGGATCATAATTTGTAAACAAGTGAGAATTCTCATTGATTTTTCCTCTTTCTTATAAATTAAAAACAAAAATAGCTTTTAGTAATGGTTTGGTTTTTGTTTTTTTATTCTTAGAAAAATTTTCTTTTAGGATATATATCCTAACTAATTTTTTAGGATGAGATGAGACGAGCGCATTAATGTCAAACCGAATTCAATAAATTTGAAATCAATCACTATAAAAATTTGATCAGATCTCCGATCCAATTTTTTTTTAAAAATTTTTAATCAACTCCAGTGATGAATCCCGGAATCCATTTGACGAACCGATCGTAATTTGAAATCAATTACTAGAATTCCATTTGATTTTTCTCCTCTCTTTAATAAATTGGAAGACGAAATCCGTTCTCAGTAATTGTTTCTTCAATCAATACTGACTGAATTCAGAAACAAGAGAGAATTCCATTCCCTTGATTAATCTTTTTAATCTAAAATTTGAAGTCGGAATTCTGGTTCTAGTAATGGTTTTTTGTGATTCGATTATTAATTTCGTTAATTTTTATTTTAATTTAAAGGATTTTTGATGAAGACGCACGACTTCCTGCAGCCGCTTGAAACGGCGGACGACGAGAAGACGCACAAAGGACCCACGCAGCGGACGACGCACGTGCTGCCGGGTGGGATCGGCACGTACAGCATCAGCCACGTGTCGAGCGGCGCCAGCTCCTTCGCAGTTGTGAAGCCGGAGTCCAACACGTGCGGGCCCGACGCCGCTTACGCTTTCCCGGTTTGGGACGCTGCGAAGGAACCCCGGCCCACTACAGGTAATTCGCTTCTTACACCGTCTGATTGTTCATTCGTGGGGTAAATGGACGGGTGTGATTGCTGTGAATATTGTCACTGTAGCATGACAGTGACGAGATATCGCGGTCGTTGTACACGCGGCCCACGTGATGGACGCGTGAGGTCACGGGACTCATTTTAGTGGGGCTGTGAAAGTCCATGGGTTTGTTGGGAGTGGTGGGTTAAACTGTGGCCCGCATGCGGAAGAGTCGCAGTAAAGCAGAGTTCTGGGCATTTTGCAGAAAGCCCTCAGTCAAGTCATTTATTACTAGAGCTACAAAAATTGGGAAGATCTTAAGCAACATAGACTGTAGGGTCTGTTAAAGGCTATGTTCCAGTACAGCTTCACCTTTTTTCCTACTAGGTTTTTAAAATGAGCTATTTAATCCACTGATGTTTAGGGTGATTGGTGGACGAGCATAATTGAGATCCCCTCATCCTCGATTTAAATCCCCTCTAATACGGCCTCGCCTTTTCAGTAGGGCAAAACAAGTATGAGTCCGATTCCGGTGGGTGGACTCGCTATGTTCCGTCAAGGGATTAGTTACGCTGCTAAGCGCTCTCTTTAAAGTGGCAGCGGGTAGATACTCCGAACCCCAAAAAATGCTAACACTTCATATAATTAATTTGTTTTTTTAATGATAATTGGTACCATATAAAATAATTAAACTTGTTAAGATATTACCCACCTGTTAATTAAATATCTTTGGTTGTCAAACTTACACTAAGAAGGTGAAGTAGATGCACAAATTATGAAATTATACTTCAAATATTTTCCAAAATCCTTCCAAATTAGAATTCACGCAAGCAAACATACCCAAACTGTTATTTTAGTAACCAAATCTGTTAATTAAATACATGCAGAAATGTCAAAGTTAAGATCTATAAGATGAGATTAATTAGTGTTCAACTATTAAGGATAATAAAAATGTTTACACTTAAAAGGATTAGGTCACACATTTGTAATCAGATAAAACAATTCTAAAAATGTGGCACAATATTATGAACTATGATGTAGGTTACATAATTGAGTCAACAATTATTGAGAACAATATTAGTATTTAATTTTACAGAACAATCTATGGATATTATTTCATTAAGCAGCAAAGCTATCAACTATAAATGTCCTTAATAAACAACCTTAATTTAAGGTTACTAAAATATTGTTTGGGATGGCTCTCTTACTGCTTCTTAAAGCAATTTTTAAGTACAAAATTTCTAATCTTGTTCTAAGAAACTATTTTAAGAAGCAAAGATAAAGCTGTCCAAAATGAAACCTAAATGATAGCAAGAAAGTGATTATCAATTTGTCATAAATAAATATTTAAATTTCCATAATATAAATCTGGAAGGAAATAAGTGCAACTTATAAATATAATTTTCATTATAAACTTGGTTTTCATCCATTTGACCAATATTCATGCCTAATTTTCATCTTGATCATGGTTTCACTAAATTAGCTTACTATTGCATGACTAAGCTCCTTCACTCTATGACTAAGTGGAGAGACTTTTATAACCTACACTATCCTTAACAGGTGATTTGCTCTATGTTAACCTAAACCCAAATGCAAAGATAAAAACTATCAAATTAAATTGATCAACACTTAGGAGGTGATTCATTAACTATCACATAATAATTCTTACAATCATTTTTAAATAAAATATATTGAATATATACAAATGAAGTTGTTTTTCATTAAATAAGCACTTAAGCTCATCCTCAAAGTGATCAATCTCCTAGCTAATTTTGTGAAAAATAAAGCGCGTGTATGCCACACGCACACACACACAGACACACATCATAACGGGACAACAGTGGTTAGAGGAGGATGTAGGTTAGGGGACTGTAATCGAACGATGTAGGTTATTGGATTGATGGTAGTCGAAGCATCCTTGTCAGATGATGGAAGGGACTGTAATCGAACGATTTTGGTTAGGAGATCGTATTCAGACGATGGTAGTTGGAGCAATGTTGTTGGACGACATTGATTAGGCACTAGTAATCGAAAGGATTGTAGTCAAGCAATGGTACTTGTAAGGACTATGGCCATAAGGTGAGCATAATCAGATGACTATCTTTTGGTGATAGAGACCAAAGAACTATAGGCCAGTGAGGGTGGTCAGATGGATTGTTATAAGGTAATGGTAGTTCAACGATGTTGTTTGGGTGGTGTTTTGCAATGGTCGTTAGACGATGGTAGTCAAATAGTGTTTCGATGGTGGCAATTAAGTGGTGGCTTGAAGGCGACCACAATACAGTGTCCAACAACAGTGGGTAGATGGTGGTTTGGCAGTGGTGCTTAGGTGGAGTTTCAAGATTCTTAGAGACTCATAGCTCTCTTGAATCTCAAGTCAAGATCCTCCTTCATGTAGAGAGCAAGGACATATTTATAGATTTTTGAGTGTCATGCCCTATAAATATGAACAAAAATTAAAACACTCTATCAGACAATCTATATATATTCTCTTGATCATAGAGTGTTTCTTTAATATTTAAGTGACTTAATGTCATAGAATTAAATGATCTTGAGCTTGTTGGATTCATCTCATCTAGTCGCTTGATTTGATTATAAATATGCCAAATTTGGTGGTTGCTTGATCCTCAAATTAATATTCCAAAGTTTTCAATCATGCTTCTTGATTTAGGCTTATTTGGACACGAATCAGATCATTTTTTATCATTGGGTTTGTCTCATTGAGTCAATTATTTAAATTAGAGTTTGGATTATCCTAAATTTAATTTTGAAAGATTTTAATTCAAATTTACCTCAAGATTCATGCCCTATTAAGACTACTTTTGAAGATGTATCATTTGCTTCTCTATTGTTAGACGGTGAAGCTTGTGTTGTCCGAAAATATATGTTTAAGTATTTTGAAAATTTCAGTGTAAAATTATAATCAAAATAAATATGCAACTAGTCTATTAACGTCAATATGAGCCTCCTCTCAGGGTTGTGAGCCAACTAAAATATATTTAGTTATGATTTCAATTTTTGTTGAAGTTGGAGCGCCTATTGGAGAGAAATTTATTGGAAAATTTCGCTTTAAGCATTAAATATTGCTCAAAATTGATTATAGAAACCTTTTATAGCTTTTTTTTTTTTTTTTGGATTTTTAGCGTAAAAAACTAGGCGCCTATTCAGGTATTAAGCACGGGCCTTCAAGCATATGCTCAAATTAATTTTTATAATTAGTTTTTTACCTTTTTTATTTTTTTTAAAAAGAAAAGAATAGATTTTTTGCTTTAAAATTCAAAATAATAAAAAAATGATGTTTGAAAAATCTTTCCAATTTTTCCTTCACTTTGGATTAAAAAATGCCCCTTTTGGGACATACATAGGCGGCATAGTTTTCTACAGCAAACTCCAATTTTGCCCTTTAAAAATAGGGGAATAAATGTCCAATGAGAGTTTAAAATTTTTGGAGGCAATCAAAACTCTATTCTTTTACTCATGGTCCAATTCTTCCCTAAGAAGGTGGGAAATTTATCAAACACGATTTAAAAAAATGTGAGAGGTGATTAAGACATGTATTCCCTATGACAAGTCTCCAATATTCACTTAAAATAATTATTGACCGTCCTTATTGGATGGGTTGAATTTGGGACATACATCACTTCCAATCCCTACGACGACGAGTCTTTGATCTTTCCTTGAAAGAGGTGTTGACTGTCCTTGTTGGGCGGACCAAGATTTGGAGGTGATCAAGACTTTTGATCACTAAGACAAGGCTTCAGTTTTCATATGAAAGAGACATTGATTTTCCTCATTGGGCTATTGCATTTGGAGGCAGTTGAGACTTCTAGTCCCTATGGCAACGCTCCAACCTTCCCTTCAAAAAGGTGATGGTTGTCAGTGTCGGGTAGATTGGATTTAGAGGCAATCAAGACTTATTGATGCAAGCATTGGTGTTGGTTTTGATGAGACGTGTCACAATTAAGGCATAACTCTTTTGAAAGTTTCAATAAAGTTCCTAAGAGAAGTGACTACCTGTTGAAAGATAGGATATAAGTTTGAAGGCTATAAAATACTTAATAAAATTTATTGTGATTTTGATAAATAGTGTCTCAATTTCATCTATATCTAATAATCCTATGCCTTAAAAGGAGACTTCTTATATATACAACTCATAAATGTATGCTATATACAAATTTAGTTGACATTTACAATCAATTGGTTGCAAGTAATGATTACTGATGAAATCTTAATCTTTGTGTAATAACGATGAATTATTATGAGAACATGCCCTTCAGAGGGGATTAAGCTCTTTTGGATGCATACATCTTTTTTCTTTTGTGTATAAACATAATTGATATTCTGCCATAATAGTGACATGCATCACCAATAATGTTATTTTAATTAAGCTCCTTATTTATGCTAAGGAGGGCCATGAGGATTTTCTTTTTAAATGATGTCTTCTCATATGTTGTTAATTTAAAATAACACTTTAAACTTTAACTTTGGTGAATAAGTTTAAGGGAAACATACTAAAGATGTTTCACATGTTGGAGATTATTAGTCAAAGTATTATTTGAAGATGTTAATATACATAAAAGTGGTTGAGAGAAATCCTTCAAAAAATGTTTGGCCTATCCAAAATTGCTTGTCAAAGTGTTGCTTTATAATGTTGGTTCTTGTGAAAGAGGCCAAATTGAATCCCTCTTATATTGATTGTATCTTTATTGGGAGGGGACAAATGTTATGTGCACCATGAGTCAAATGTAAAGATTGATATGCCTTTATATCATAACTATCTTTTTGAGGTCATGGTTATGATGACCTTGACTAATGAGTAAAAGTTTAGCTGGAATTGGGCATAAAATTTAAAATTTGCTTGAGGCCCCAGCTCTATCAGCGGGCCCATTCTTAAATTTCTCATATTTACTAGAACTTTTAAGAAAAACTGTTATCACCACGATTTCTTTATATGCATATAAAAATATTAGATGTAATGACTTGATTACAATTGTGCCTAAGGTGTTAACATTAATATCCCTTCGAAGTTGTGGCTAAGGTTACACCTCAGTCTTGATTTGCTTTCTATGAAATTGATGCAAAAAATGGATGATAAAAGAGATGAATTTTTATGACTACAACCATGGTTTGTTTGATGTTGGAATTGAAGTTTACCTCTAAACATGGCTTATTTCTTTCAATGCTGATGAAATGCTATAGGGTAGATAAATTGTGCTATTATAACCATACCCAAGGCATTGGCTTAAATGACCTTTGAGGTTGTTACAATGGCTGCCCCCTTGTTGAGAATTATTTCCCATTGATGACGCCTGTTGCATGATAGAACATTCACGATTGTAAAGTTAGAGTTTATTATTTTAATATTTTTGTTTGAAGATTCAACACACACAATTAAAAGGGGAGTTGTAAGAGTTTTGAGGGACAAAAGAATTTTTACGCGAAACATTCGAGAAAGAGAAAAATCACGAGACATGGTTTAGTTCTAATGATTCCATTAGTTTTTATCTTTGGTTACAAATAAATGCCCTTTCTTGGGGACAAACATTCATTCAATGTAGTAAACATCTAATGTATACAACATATTACGTGCTTAAATATGGAAAGGCTCTATGGCGTGGGACCTGTTTTTAAGAGATTGTTTGTTTATTCATTTGGTCTTACTTCTTTGAGAAAAGGAGACTAGAGATTAAGAAGTCTATCATAAATTTTGGTGTTAACGTCGAAAGTTAGAGTTGGTGTCGATGTCGTGCATTAATCTCAAAACAATGACATGTGTCGACATTATTATCGATGGTAGGTGATAATGTCAACTATGTTAGTTTATTCAAGTGACAATGGTCAGAGGCCTATAAGTCAGAGGATCATATATGGCAGAGGATCATGTTTAGGCAAAAGAATGTTGAAGGATTGCAGTTGGATAGCAATTGTTACATGATTGTAGTCGGGTGAAGAAGATCAGAGGACTGTAGTCAAATTATGATGGTTGTTAGATTATAGTCAAATGACGGTGGTCGATGGACCATAGTCACCATAGTCGAGTAATAGTAGTCGGAGGACTATAGTTGTTGGCGGTGGTTATAGGATTATAGTCGGGTAGCAATGATTGGAGGACTATAAGTAAACATATGTCGAAGGGATTGTAGTAGGACTATGGTGGTCCAACAATATTGGTCAGATTTTAGTCCAATGGTTGCTGTCGTGGGTGGTCCGATATTGACAATCAAATAATATTCTAATGATGACTGTTGAGCGGTGGTTCAATAATGTTGGCTGGGTAGTGTTCTAACCACGGTGACTGGATGGTGTTTTGATTGTAGTGGTTGAGCAATGGTCCAAAGGTGCTCGAGGTTTGGATGACCTAGAATTTAATTCTGAAAACTTTTAATTCAAATATTTATCGAGATTCATTCATTATTAAGATAAATTTTTATGATGAATTAAAAAAAATAAAACTAAATTTTATATCAATTTATTTAGAAATCGAGTAAACTATTTGTTGTGATTGCATCAGGCATTTTCTTTAATTTCGTGATTTTATAGGGGAAATTATTGAATATATATTACACATTTTGCATGCTAATCATTGCTAAACTTCATACATATGTGGATTCTATTATTTAACTATTTTTATTTTGAGTGAAAATATCTGTGATTAGAAGTTGGTGAAAATTATTTATCTAGAATCATGATTCGAATCATATATTTTGTGAATTATTGTTATTATTATTATTTCTTTAAATATAATAATTTAAAAAATAATGATATAATAATAATAATAATAATAATAATTTTTATTATTTCATAATTTTATTTCATACATTCTGATTATTAGTAAACACAGCCTTTCTGTTTTACCTTAAATAGCGTATTTATATTTTCCACAAATATTGAAAATGAAAATCTGTACATTTTTCTTAATTTGTTTCAATATCCAATATATATATATATATTAAGAAGGTATATATATAATATAATATTTTCGATGTTAATTTGTAAATAGGATGATATAAATGGGTATGTATGTAAAACGATTAATTAGCGATTGACTCTTTTCTTCTGTTTCTCCCTATCTTCTTGCGGTGTACTCCCAGGGCAGTGGCCGTCAACATTCGCCGCCCTCAGCCCCCCGAGCTTCGGATCACTTGCCTCATCAAGGTATTTCCCTTCATCTCGTTCTCAGACCATCCGTTTCTTCTCCCCTCCCCACCCCTTCTTTCTCCAATCGCTTCTCTCTATCTACGGTCCGTGTGTCCCTTCTTCCTTCCGGTGGATCTTGAGAGCTAAAGAAATTTTGAGCAGGAACAGCGAATTCCCCGATAAGAAGCAACGATTTATGGAGTCTGCCTCGAGATTCAGCAAGGGTTTCGAAGAGGACGACGACGACGATGAGGAGTTCGGAAAGCGAGAAAGCTCTTCCCATAAAGGTCGCTCCTTTCCCTGTTGGACACCCCTTTATTTGCCATGATTTTCTTTTCAATTCGTTTTCGTGGGGCGCTCTTTCTGCGTTCTGTACCTTAACCACTATGATGCGCTTGTAGGCGTGCCATGTCTCTGTTGTGCTTTCTTCTATGCTAAATTTAAAATTTTGCCGTGCTTAATGAGAGCTTTTATTGCAGATCTAACCGTGAAGATTGATGGGAAAACCGGCGAGCAGAAGGCTTGTACGCCACGGTCAAAGCATTCTGCGACAGAGCAGCGTAGGAGAAGCAAAATAAATGATAGGTAAGGCCGTTTCCACGTCTATTGTTGTTGTCAAAGTTATTCAAGTTATTTTGTAAGTATTTATTGGTTTTACTGGATTGTTGCTTTGATGGTAGTACTCTGCCATCATCCTTGGTGAACTTGTAAGGAGCCGGACCTTTAATAAGGTGCTGCTTTGGTTGTAAGATTAAACCTGGATTTAATCAGGCTTTGATTTAAAGCTTGCCAAACAATTATTTTATGTTTTGTTCTAAATCAAGGTTTTGATAAATTTTATGTAACCCATGATTTAATACAATTTACCTATGATTCAAGTACTAGGAGAGCAGAGTTTGGAGGCTGTTAGGTTTGAGATCTCTGATGTACTGCCCAAACTTCTTGAAGCTTCGAGATCTCAAGGCATCTTTTCAAGCCTCTTAGAATTGAGACCATCTTGACCTATGTCACTGTCTCCTTGACCATTCTAATTTTCATTCTTCACTGTCACCTTTTCTTCCCCTACGTATTCTTATTGTTTTCCTGCTGGACTTCTATCGTTACTCATTCACTGAATGTTTTCACCAACGCCAATATCTCCCACCAAAGCTCGCTATAGGTTCCTTTCTTTGTTCCTTTTTACCTGAAATTAATGCTTGCCACAGGTGCTTGTGGGCAATTTTCTGGTACTTTTAATGCTATTCCATCTGTTAAGATAGCGGTCCTTGGCATTGTCTTTTGCTTACAAATTAACGCTTTAATTATTTGAACAAACTCTTACATCAGTTACCTACTATTTGCTTAAATCTTAAAATAAATAAATAAATAATTACTATTGATCTAATAACTTTGATTAAATAGTAAAATGATATCTTAATGTACATATTTAAACCACAATATATAATCTAATTATTAGTCATATCATCCTAATTGTTTTTAATAATATCCTAATCTATAATTATGCTTAAATATATTGTTTAATTAATTTCTCAAGTAAATCTTATTACAACTAATTAATCCTCTATTACATTTTGAGTTTTTAAATTAAATGTTAAATATTTATTTACTCTGAACAATCAAATCAGCTCACAAATTTAATTTAAATCTGTTAAATCTAGTACTTCTCTTATTTATTTATCTGCCTAAAGTAATTTTTTTTTTTGTTAATTTGGACTTTGACCTATGTTAAGAAAGGTAGAGGTAGACCTAAAAATACTTGGTTAGAAAATACTAGAAATGACCTTTCTTTATTAGATTTAACTGAGAATTTGTCTCTTAACCGGACACAATGGAGAAAAAAGATTCATGTAGACGACTCCACGTAGTGGGATAAATGCTTGATGATGATGTTGTTGTTATTGTATTAATTTGGGCTTGACATTACACCCAACAATCCCTTTGATTTTCTTATTAAATCCCAAATTCATTTAATCCTTAACCCTGAAAATAAATTGTTTGATAGATTACCCGGATTTAGTAAGATTTAGCAGCTATAATGCCAAACAGTTTTTAAGATTTACTAAATCCGGATTTCTAGTATTTACTAAATCTTACTTAGAATTAAATTGTACTTGTAGTCAAACAACACTATGAAGTCTGAGGCTTTAGCCACTACGAATTCAGAAACTTTGTGGATTCTAATTTTTCTATTCCATTATTAGGGCTTTGGTGTAAAATATGAGTTGGATAGTGGTTATTCGGCATATGCATCTCAGGTTACAGGAAAAATGTTTTCTTGGGAAACTGCTACTCACAAACTGAAGCTAACCAATAGAAAGGATTAGAAGGTCAAACAATACACAGTACTTTCACTTTATAGGATATTACATATAAAAAATGGTAAATACAATTTATACAAAAGAAAAATAAAAATAAAAAAAGGACGTTGGTGGCTACGGTAAGGGAGATGAGCACATGAATTGCAATCCAATGGTTAAGAGGGAGAAGATCTAATGGCTAGGCTCCTCAATCCGTGTGCTCAATAGATCATATTATAATTTGGTAGGACCCACAACTCCTTAAGGCTAGGTGTAGGAAGGAGGCATAGGAGTGGATTCATGATGTGAGGCCTTACGGTCTTCAACACTCCCTCCCAAGCTGAATGTGTAAATCTACCATTTCTATTTAAGTTTGCTTACAATATTATTAAATGTGCAATTACGAAGTCCTTTAGTGAATATATAGATAAATTGATTTTATGTTAGTACATATGCAGTGCAAATCAACCAATTTTTCAAATTTCCTTTTATAAAATGTTTAGCTATCTCTACATGCTTGGTATGACCATGTTGTATTGGGTTATAAGCAATGTTATATACAAATTTTATGATAGTATATTTTTATTAGCTCTCATCACTTTTTTTAATCTTTCAAGATGATTTTGATCGACATAAATTTATAGATTCCTTGAACAATTAACGGTTGTTTCTTGTCTATAAATTTGGATTCAATTCTAGATTTTGAAATAACCGATTGTTTCTTGCTTAATATTATGAGATTTTTCTCCCAAGAATGCACAATATTCTCAAGTCGATCTTCCATCAACATTTATTTTAGTGTAGTCTATATCAGGAAAGAATTCAATTTGTAGAGAATTTCTTTTTTAGAGTTTGATTTAAGATATTTGAGGGCTTTATAAGTCACTTGAAGGTGACTCATTCATTGGTGCATGAATTGACTTTTTTAACACAATTTCTTAAAGGATTCATGTCATTATTGTTCGACAAGTTTTACGTTGGCTGTCGACTACCTAACGCAACCCTCCACTTTTCTCATCCAGGACTTGGGACCTGGCAACGGCAGTGTTTAGTGCATGAATTGACTGATGAGATTTATTATAAAAGCAATGTCTGGATGGGTGAAAGATAGATAGTTTAGTTTTTCAGTTAATCTTTGTTAAGTTAATCGGTGCTACTATCCCATATCTACTGTATCTCCTTCAGTACATCCAACTTTTGATTCAGTTCAATTGGGGTTTCACAAGTTTTGCAATCAGTTATTTTTTGTCTCCTTTAGTAGTTTCATGATATACTTTTATTGAGAGACGAATATTCTTTGTTTTGATTAAGTTATTTCTATACCCAAGAAGTATTTAAGTGCGCCCAACACCTTGTTCTCAATTTTTTTAGCAAGTTGTATTTTGAGGGGCTCTTTCTTTATGGGCATCACCTATAACAATTTTATCGTTAATGTATATAATGATAATTGAGATGTTATCATTAGTAGAATTTTTTATAAAGACGGTATGATCCCTTTGGTTTTGTTTATATCCAACTTATGTCATGGCTTCTGTAAATCTGCCAAACCATACTCTTGGGTATTGTTTAAGTCTATATAAACCTTTTTAAATTTGCACACATTATTTTGTATAAACAAGCTATCAACCTTTAGAGGATCAATATGGACTTCTTCAATATCTCCATGTAAGAAGACATTCTTCACATCATACTATTGTATAGACCATCTAAGATTAGCTGCTAGAGAAATTAGTATGCAAGTTATATTCGTATTTGTAATAGAAGAAAATCTTTCTTGGTAGTCAATTCTATAGGATTGAGTATATTCTTTGCCAATAAACTTGCCCTGTACTGTTCTTGACTCCCATTGGCCTTATATTTTCTAGAAAAATTCCACTTACTTGTCAGAAAAGCTTTATGTGAAGGGGAAAAGTTGTGAAAGAATGTGGTATTGACTATTGAGAGATGAGATATAGAGGAATAGTTATGAGTTAATCATCATTATATTATAATAAATTTGAGTCTTATGCTTATTAGAGAGTATGATTGGGCTTATTCCTTCATGTGTAGACTTGAAGTGGCATTGTGCTTTGATTTTTTGGGATCTTTGTCATAGGGATGTCAAGATGAAAGATAGAGGTTTTATCAAACTTATCTTTAAGTTGGAAGTTCTCTTGAAAATGAGTTTGAATTTTTTTTTTGCTTTTTATCAAAAGTGACATCCTTTGGGATAAAGATTATTTTTTTTTTTGCATTAGGATAACACTTATTTCATTTTTAGTAGGAGAATATTCAATAAAGATATTCGAGGGCTTTAGGATCCAATTTATCATTACGCTATTTGTGTATATGGACATAATCAATGCACTCAATTTTTTGAAGTTTTTTTGTGATGAAATTGTTTGTGTGGAAATTTTTTTGTCAATTAGTTTAAAGGTCTTTTTAAAACCAATCACTTTTGTGGGTATTCTATTTGATTATGTAAGTAGCAGTATTGACAACTTCATCCAATATCTTTTTAGTACTTGATTCTATAGAAGAAGAATTTCATGACTTAAAAAAAAAGAGTTTTCGTGACTTCTAGGAAGTAAATATTTTTTTTCATTTTGTCATCCTTTTTGGAAGTATGTAGATATGAGAATTGTTAAATGATCTCTTTACGAAAGAAAGAAGATAATTTGTTATTGAAGTAATCACGAACATTATTTTTCCAATATATTTTGATGTTAGTATTAGATTGATTTTGTATTATGATTGTAAAAGCAGGGAGGTAGATTTTCCTTCTTTCTTCAGTCCGGAGTGTTGAGCATTATTTCCTTCTTTCTTCAGCCTGCAAAATAAAGAATAGCTCATTTAGTATTGGTAGATTTTCACTGTTAATTTGAGGCATTAAACACGAAAAAGTTAGAAGTCATATCTTTTTGAGCTAAAAAATATAATTCAAATGATTCTTTAAGGGAGTTGAGAATTCCTTTGTTTATTATTTTTTTTGGAGTTAAGCCTCTCTAATTCAACAAGAGATTTATTCCTTTTCATTTTTTTTCTTTTCACAATAGCATTGCGGATTTTTATGATGTTTCCAACCATTTTTTTTTGTTCCATTTTTTCTTGCAGAAGTTACAACATATATATTACCTTTAGCAGAAGGTTTTTGTCATTTAGGTAAAAATCTATGGCAACTAGTCTCTTATCTTAGGGTTCGGTGGTAGTTAGGGCAAATGTTTCAAAGACCGGAGTGTTGAGCATTATTTCCCTTCTTTCTTCGGCCTGCATAATGAAGAAAAGCTCATTTAGGATGGCAGTTTTTCA